GAGAGAGAGAGAGAGAGGCAGGTGGCTGGGGGAGCAAATTTGAGCAGTTGCAGCAAGCGGCCGAGAGCTCCAGAGTTTGAGTGGCTGAAGCAAGTGGATTGATTCCGAGATGTAGTGTAAAATTGGAAGTCCAATCTATAATTTCCAGGATTGATCATCGAGTCTTAGACATGCATGAATAGATAAGATCGAGTAATAATCGATTAACAAACTCGATCGTACATCAATGGATACCATGTTTGAGTCTTAGGTTCATGTGAAAAGACTCTCAATGTCCATTCATCGATATGAATATACAAGCTTTCTTATATAGACAAATGTAGATGATAAAAATAGAAATAAATAACAGACTCCGCTACCATATCTAGATTTTCTATAAAATACAACCCCCTACATATTGATTATAATACGGGGGTTGCATACAATGAGACCATTTACCTTTTGTACAAAGAGGTCACAATTACTTGCAACCATCCAATGTGATTTCTGGTAGTTTAAGTATATCACATAATACGAGAAAATTTCTTTTGAACTTTGAGCATGGTCAATGAAATGAATGCAGCCACCCGATTTGACATCCAATGATCAAGATTAATTGTGACCAGTTTGTGCAAAACATAAATGGTCTCATTATATACTTTCTCTTATAATATACACCTTCTAAAATTAACTCTATAGACATATACACTTTCCTTAACATTTCTAACCACCAGTTAAGTAAAATATATTGTATGATGCTCCTTTCTAGAGAGTGGAAATATTCAATTTAAACATTCTTTTTTTTATTTTTCTATTTTTATTTATTCTATAGTATTTTATAGTCATTTGATTTTCTATTTAAATTCTTATCTTTTATGAGCTAAATGGTGTTTTTCTTTCAATGGATAAGCTAAATATTTGTTATACCAGTTTTTTATAGAAATGATCAACATATAAAAGCCACTTTATGAATTTTTTATTAATTTCCCTCTTTATTGCTCACTCATATTACTTATTGATAGCAAATACATTTACAAGACAAGTTTAAGAAGTACAACCTCCGGGGAATTGAGTGAGAGGGAGAAGCAACTAAGAATAAATTCAAATGTGTACTTTCCTCCAAAGTTTTTTATTTTTCTAATATACACAAATGACACAAAGAAAGCCACTTTTTTCATTACCAATTTTCACTTAACCCTATTTTAAGTACTAGTGAGTAACATATAGTGTAGACTAATTTTTACATCTTGCGCTTAATCCTCACGCTAGTTTAGCCTGGCACAATGCTAGGCTCCACAAAATTTGTCTCCAAACTCCCTCTTTCTTCTTTAGGATAAAAACATGACACTATTAAAAACATGACACAATTAAATGCCATGCTTATCCCATTCGAAGAAGGTTGAATTTGATCAAAACGGTATGGCAGAGAGATCACCCACTCATACAACCTTAATCGGTGAACCATTTGATAGAAATAGCCCTAACCCAAATTTTTAACATAAGGGAAACAAATTTAACTATTGTAGCATCTAGAAGTTTTTAGAGGAAGGCAACTCTACAGAAAACTTCAATAAGATCTTCACTTGGATCAGTTGTATCTTTGACTTGCACTCGTCTGAACAAGACTACATCTCAAATTTACAAAGTTCAGAGTGATTGATGCTTAGTAACTAAGTCAAGGGTATGATAAATCCCTTGAAAATAGTGGGAAACTGTGTTGAAGATAAGATTCATAACCACCACTCTTCCCCCACGTCTCTTTTTCCAATCATAGGATAGAGCATGAATACAAAACTAGTTCAAAAAAATACTTTATGAAATTCATCATAAGAATTACCTGAATTGTAACTGAATTTAGAAAACATTTCTAAATGATACTAATCAAATTTCCATGAAGTATGCTCTTCATGCCTCTAGTAAACCACCGTCTTCGGAAAACATCACGAACATCTCTCTCAAAAAGCAGTCATGATTCTCTCTCTCTCTCTCTCTCTCTCTCTCTCTCTCTCTCTCTCTCTCTCTCTCTCTCTCTCTCTCTCTCTCT